TTTTTTTTTTATAAATTACATTTTGAATAAAAAATTGCATATTTATTCTACTGCAGAAGTAAAAATCTTAAGTAAAATTAAGTAAAAGTCTTTGCTTTTCACTTAATTGTTCATTGTTGATTTTACAGTATTTTGCATGAAGGAGAGGCTCCATCCACAACTATACTGTGAACTCACTAACCCAGCAACCCATCCCCCTGAATAGTTTACATACATAAAACGAATGTTGTGAAGCCTGTGGCAGAATGTCACATGACTTTACAGCTTGGGATCTTTTTCTGTGCACAGGTCAGCATGCACAATTTTACCAGTAAAACAAACACAGCTTTGGGTACAATGATTATGTTTAAAATTAGGAAATAATTCAAACGTTGACTCTAAATAAAAGTCTCCGTATTGAATAAATAACTATTGTGAATGACATTGTTTATATCCCCAAAGCAACTGAAGCAGCAGAAGTGGCACGTCTTAAATTTTCACCAGACTAAAATGCAAACATGACTTCATGGAAAGCAAACCACTTCAGCTGCTTCCACAGCTATACATTGAACTGAATGACCCTCTGGAGAGAGACCCATCCCCCCGTTACACATATCACACAGACCTTGAGCTCAGAGAAAGATCACTAACTACAAAGCTCCTTCCAGTTAACATATACTGCGCAATTCAGCTTATTGTGCCAACATTTCCATAGACTGAAGAATTATAATGACATAAGGTATTTTACATTATAGATGGCAGGCAATTTACCTATTAATTTGATCTTAAAGAATTCACCCAAAATTGATGGCTCAGGCCATCCAAGATGTAGAGGAGTTTGTTTCTTCATTGGAACAGATTTGGAGAAATTTAGCATTACGTCACTTGCTCGCCAATGGATCCTCTGCAGTGAATGGGTGCCGTCAGAATGAGAGTCCATACAGCTGATGAAAACATCACAATAATCCACACCACTCCCGTCCATTAATTAAGATCTTGTGAAGTGAAAAGCTGCATGTTTGTAAGAAACAAATCCATCAAGGCATTATAATATTAAATCATCACTTCTGGCCAAAATACGAGTCCATAATCCACATAATGTTTCCTACAGTTGAAATGTCCATCTTCTGTTGTCCTCTCACATCAAAATCTACCGTCATATTTGTATAGAACTGTTTTCAGTTGTACTGTAAATGGTGCTTGATCTGTGCATATTTCTCTCCTGATTCAGACGAGACAATGGAGAACGTAATATTATAGATATAAAGGACTCATATTTTAGTATTTTATCAAATTCAATATTATTGCTGTGGTGCCACTAGCCAATTGTCAAAAAGGTAAAACTGAAACTGAACATTTTAAAATTGTATTTAATATTTTTTGCTCAATTTAACAATAAGCTTTATTTATTTATATAGCCCATTTTCCACTGATGGAAAAATGTGTATCTTGTAAAAGGTGCACCGGATAAAGTACTAAATTTTTGCATTTTCAAAATGTTAGCATGAAGAAAAGATCAGATTAAAGTGTGACTACGCTTAATCTGTCCCCACTTCATTCCTGCTGTGCATGTTTTAAAATGTTTACCTTTTATTTGAATTCATTTACTACTTAAAACTTTGCTCAATGTGCACATTTTAATTGCTATCAGTTTTCAAATGTTCAGAAAATATACTTTTTACAGCCAATAAAACACAAATGTATATTTTTTTGACAATGCACCTATTGTAAATAATGGAAAAGTTCTTACGCTTTTTATTATTACCAACATACAACAATTTATAGACAATATGTTAAGTCAACAATATCTCAACATCCAAAATGGAAATAAGGTTAAGACAGAACACAGTCCTGCAATGATTTTTTGATGGTGAACATGTAAAATGTTCCAGTGGATCTTTATTTTGTGAGGCAGATCACTGTGCCTGACTCACGTGTGGGTCAACATGAACAGTCAGTTTGTCATCTTAACATCCAACCCATGGATCTTGTCTTTGTGTCCTTGATACGAAAGATATTTTTCTGGCCATCTCACTGTTGTAGATTCTCTTACAGTTCTCGTAGCTCTTTCTCTCTCGCTTACGACAGGGTTTCTCATAGTATCTTCTACGCTTCACAGATTCAATTATTCCATCAGAAGACAGCACTCTGCAGTGAATAAGAGAGAGAAAGAGCATGTAACAACTACAATATCTGTAAATATGAAATATCATACTGTATTATTTGGTTACATGGTGAAAACAAGGCAGCCTTGCAAACCAAATCCAAGGTAAGACTTTTGATCATACGTTCAAGGCAAGCCTAGATTGCAAGAATACAACTCAACTGCAGCCTCTAAAGAAACTTCTGCAATAACACATTTGTTTACATTGATGGTATTACTTTAATTTACCTAGGGCTGTTACTTTATGTAATTTTCATGCTTTATTTGGGCATTATTGATATTTAATTTAATATGTTAATATTACTTGTTTAATTGCACTATTATTTAACATTGGTTATCATCGGATCTCATGTTATGCTGCAAACATTTTGGCAATACAAAAATATAATTTCATGCTAAAAAAGCACACTAAAATTTAAATTATTAAAAATATTTCTTCAGGGTGATATTTTAAGCCGTATAAGAGGTCAGGCAAGGCAAGCAGGGTTATTATAGTTAACTACAACAGCAACAACAAAATAAAAGTAAATAAAACACATTTTAAATGTAAATGTTGCCTTGTATACATTCATTTGAAGGAAGTTTCCGTATTTATTTATTTTTTACATGTGTTTTACCTGTATTTTGAATTTTGTACTGCATTGGGTTGTGTTTTGGAGTTAACGGAACATTTATTAATCCGTAAAATATAAATGGATATTGTCCTGCTAGAAAATTACATTACATTACATCCAGTTCATTATCTGTTTTTTTTAAACATTGTGTGTGTGTGTGTATATATACAGTGCCAACCACTAATATTGGCACCCTTGGTAAATATGAGCAAAAGTGGCTGTGAAAATAAATCTGCATCCTTTATCCTATTCATTATCTGTTTTTTTTAACCATTGTGTGTGTGTGTGTGTATATATACAGTGCCAACCACTAATATTGGCACCCTTGGTAAATATGAGCAAAAGTGGCTGTGAAAATAAATCTGCATCCTTTATCCTTTTGATCTTTCATTTAAAAAATGTATAAAATTCTAAACTATCATTGAAGTAAAAAAATTGAAATTGGGGGAAAAATCTTATTATGAAATAAATGTTTTTCTCCAATGCATGTTGGCAACAATTATTTGGCACCCATAGAAATTCTCATGAGTAAAATATTAGTGGTTGGCACTGTGTGTGTGTGTGTGTGTGTGTATGTATGTGTATGTGTATATATATATCACAAAGCAAATTTAAGCAAATTAAATGAAACGGAAAATTTAATGTAAAAATGAAAACTGAAAATATGAAAAAAATTAATTCAAAATATTAATAAAACTGTAAACGTATATAAAGGACACTAAAACAACACTACAGGCAACATTGGTCAACAAATATTTATACTTTACAGTGCATACAAATTTTTATTAACTAACGATTAACCTTCTAACTAATTACTTGTCTGTTAAGCATTATATAATATACTAATGTTCTTTATTAAAGTCATTATGTGTTAGCACACGGTCACATCGATTATTAGCGCTTACCTAAAGGATTTATAACGACATTTCTGCACAGATATCAAAGTCACCAGACATCTCATAAGTACCTGCTCAGCGCGCCATATGCCGCATCGACATTGCCGTTCTGGACCATGACAGTCCGAGCGACGAAGCGAAGGTGGCTCGCCATGTTTCGTCCGTGTTACCGTCAATTGTGCACGGGTGGAAATGCGATCCGTTGAGCAGCCAGTTCCCGGAAGTGAGCGTTCGAACTCTACTTCTTCTTCTTCTTCTTTGGGTTTTAACGGCAGCTTGCGGTTCGAACTGTAGGTGGCGCCAAATAGATTTAAAGGGGTCATATGATGCTGCTAAAAAGAACATTATTTTGTGTATTTGGTGTAATGAAATGTGTTTATGCGGTTTAAGGTTCAAAAAACACATTATTTTCCACATACTGTACATTATTGTTTCTCCTCTATGCCCCGCCTTTCTGAAACGCGTCGATTTTTACAAAGCTCATCGGTCTGAAAAGCGAGGTGTGCTCTGATTGGCCAGCTATCCAGTGCGCTGTGATTGGCCGAATACCTCAAGCGTGTGACGGAAATGTTACGCCCCTACCATACTGTGATGCCCTGCATCCGGCCGGAGCCACGAGACAAAAACATTAAAACCCATTATAAACGAGGCATTTGTTGCATCCAATGGGGACATAATTACGGATTATAATAACTTATACTGTCTTTTTACGCGTTGCGTTGCATCGCGCCGCATTTGGGACTTTAGTCTTTGCAACTTTACAGATCTTCTTTATGCACCAAGAGCTTGTAACAGTCCAAAGAGAAAGGAAAAATTGAAATCGCATCATATGACCCCTTTAAAAAATGAACGGTTGCGCTTTTTGGACGACGATGCCGACTCTGAGTTTTAGCGGCTCTCAGTCTCACCTGACAGGAATTAATTCAAGTAAATTAGATTAATATACGTTTATACCTTTATTGATTATAGCTTCATTCATATACAACAACAAGACATGGTGGAACATAACAGAATGAAAATAAAGAGCTAAAATGAGCCCTATCGCTCAGTGAGAGATTAGGCTAGGAGATGAGGGGCCATCTTGACGTTAATTATGATATTTTTTAACATCTTTCGAATTTTATCATCAAATTTTCTGTAAATTCTTACCTGGAAGATGACTAGCAGGATGAAAAGTTCAGACACATAGCAAAAACCTATGAAATGATTACCTGCAATATTCTCCGGGAATTTGTTGATTAGAGAAAATTAATAGAGTGTTTCTTAATAAAATGCTGTTTTCCATTTTAGAAGTTAGACGTACTTAAGACAACACATGCAGAATTTGAACTAAGCCCATTAGGCCCATTGAACTTCTGTTATGTTTTGTGAAATGAAAGGTTCTTCAGTTTGTTATGGCATAGGCTATGCATTTAGGTCATCAGTGGTTGTTATCACAGATGAGCAGACTTAGTCTCCAAATAATTGCCTTTTTATGTAGACATATTCCCCCTCCTTTCACTGTCTTTCTCATACATGAATTCCTCATCCTCATCGTCTCCCGGATAATGGGGTCAGTAGTAGGTGAGTGTGGGATCAGGATTGTTTTCTCATTCAAATTCAAGTAGCTTTATTGACTCGATCACTTCAAAGAAAAACTTGCTGATGTGCTTTTAGGGGAAGCATTCAAAGTGAGGGCAAGAAAACAGCTTGAACTTTTGCCACTGTCTCCATTCTGGCTGAAAATATACAGTTTCGTTCTTTCTCTCTCACTCGTCTTCCCTTTGCGCTTTTCCTCTGTTCCATTTCCAGGGATATCATTTCTTATCCAGACTTGTTGAAATGTTTTTGGTAGAAGGGGTGGGATCGGGGGTAAAGGGAGAAAAAAGGGACGGGTGGGGAGCAACTCAGGAATCGGCTGGTAATTACCTCTGAGCATTTGGAGAAGAGGATGTGGTTTCAGTTTACATGGCCTCATTCTTTCTCTCCTCCCTGGCTCCCTTTTGGCCACTCAAACACTCCATTTGCTTCTCGTCTCTTCGCTGCTTTTTCCACACCATTTGTATGAGGAATGTGGAGACGTGTACGAAAGGAACAAAAACGAAATGAAGTGAAGCAGATAGAGCAAAGTGAGAGAAAGAGAGTGTGAGTGAGTGGGTTTTGGAGAGAATGAATGGAACTGATTAAAGAAAAATTTATATAAATGTGTCATCATTTATTAAGGTCTGAGGCGGTGGCAAAATTCATGTGAATTAAAAAAACCAAAAGATTCTAGGGTCTGATGTTTTCTTCTATATCTGTGTAAAATGGATGAAAACCAGTGTTGTCTTCTGTTAACATAAAGCATTTTAAGATTAAGCTCTTTAATGTTCCAGATGAACAGAACTTTATAACATTCATTTTACAGCACACCCGATATAGAATTGGATGCTTTTTCAGCTGCACAAATTTTCCTCTGCATAACTTTTGTAGAAAAGGGCAAATTTAATATAATCAAACAGAAATATTATTTTAGAGATAATAATTATTATTTTAAGATTTTTATTTTACATTCTTAAAATCATTATACATTTTACTTATTTAATTTACTTCCTATATATATATATTTTTTTACTATATTTTACTATTATAAATATTGTTTTATCCTACTTTTGTATTTATTTTAAATATGGTCTGAACAAAAAGTGATTTAAATTGGTTTTGAAACATAAAGTCCCTCAAAACTTTAGAGGAGGTCTAAATGCAAATTCAAAGCCAGAGTCTTGTTAGGACAGACAGGTCTACAGCAGCTCTCAGCAAGAGACAGAAGAGAGCCGAGGTTTGAAGATGTGATATGACTGACTGACAATGGCTGGCTGTTGTGGTCTGAATACTAACAAAGCTCAGCATGAGATGTTTTTGTTGGCGTGTTTGTATGAGAGAAAGGGAGTAATATGGGAGTTTCCATGTATTTTGCACCAATTAAATTTTTAAGCAAAAGCTCCTTGTTTGACAAAATCTCCAAAAATATAATGGAATGCTTTAGAATTTAGTATGACTGACAACTAAATGTAACTAAAAGTAAAAAAAAAAAGTGAGAATCCCTGGAGGTGTGAGGCATGATCCATGAACAAGGAATCTGGACTTGTAGGAATCATGCTGCAAGTTGCTTTGGATAAAAGTGTCTGCTAAATGACGAATACCAAGTATTAAGATGCAGCTAAAGGAATCAGCCGTATATGACCCGATCGCTGAAGCCAAATGGTGGGGCAAATATGGGTCTTGTTGAATCTTTACTGGAAGCACATGGCGCGCGAGCAGCGGCCGCCCAATGAAACGCGGCACAGGCGCAAACGCTCCGGATTGGCCGAGAACTCATTGGCCGCGCACAGTCACAGGCTGATCTGAGAGAAAGTAAGACTGCTGAACACCGGCGGATGAGAGGAGAAGAGCGGTCCAAAACAACTGTCTGAAAGGAAAGATACGAAGAAACATGGAGTCAAACACGGAGCGAACGTTTGCCGACTTTTCTGGATCATGGAAAATGAAAAGTTCCGAAAATTTCGAGGACCTTTTAAAAGCTCTCGGTGAGTTTTCAAGATTCGTCATTATTAGAAAAGTTTTATCTAAGATAATTAAAACTTTTTTTAAATGTGACCTTTGTATTCGTATTGGTTTATGTTTTTTAATTAAAATGAATTACAAGTTATTTTGATATTTTGTGATGCTTAAAAATGTCTCGGTAGCCTACTAGTGTAACTTCCTTTAAATTGTAAAAAAGAAGAAAAAAAATCTAATTAAAGGCCTAAGTAATTTAGTATACATATTTTGTATTATTACCTCTTTAAAAAGAAATAAAATAAGCAATAATGCTATTTTGTTTTACAATATAAAATTAGCAATTTTGTTATCATCTGACAAGAGAACTATAAACCAAAAGAAACCGGTGCATGACTGCATGTCAGACATTAATTTTTTAATTTTTTATTATATTTTGTTCAGGTCAAATTGAGACTCATTTGACCATGAGCACAATGAATGGAACGCTGAAAAATGTGCTGCTTCACTTCCTCATGGGATTGTGATTAGGCTCACAAACCCTTATACGGGGCCCCTCAGCCAGCCATTTGGCTCTGTAGACACACCGTCCCTTGACCCCAATTATTCATTCAAAGGGGAGTTCACTTAGACCAAGTACACAGTTGCCCCTAAATGAAATAAAAGCAAGAATGAATCCACTGTCTTGACTCAGTATTTAAAAGGTATAGATTTCCTTGGTGTTAACTAAAAATGGGGTACCTGATTTTAATTGCATAAATATGTGACCCCTGTTTAGACTGTAAAACATTCCAGTGCAGATCGGACACGGTTGGACAGGAAAGGACAGGAAACTGGCCATAGGAAAAATCTTTTATTTCTGATTATGATAAATGGCCTTTTAATTTCTTAGCACATTTGTGTGTGTGTGTGTGTGTTTGTTTGTTTGTTCTACAGGCGTAAATGTCTTTTTGAGGAAGATTGCAGTTGCAGCAGCTTCCAAACCAGCTGTTGAGATTACACAGCAGGGGGAAAGTCTCTCCATTCAGACCTCCACTAGTGTGCGGACCACTCATGTGTCCTTCATGGTGGGCGAGTCCTTCAACGAGACTACAGTGGATGGACGCCCATGCACAGTAATGCCACACATCTCAGCACATCATATTTTTCTCTCTGTTAACTGCTACACAAAATCATATTTCATAAGATTTACTATTAGAAAATATCAATGTATTAAATCTATTATTGTTTATTTTTTCTAATACTAAACATTATATGTTAATATCTAACTTTATTTGATGGGGAAGTTCACGTTTATCTATACGCACAAGCACAATGAAGTATGTTTTCAACAAACTTTGAGAACCTTTAAAGATATTTTAAATTAATATCTCTGCTTTTTGCCCTTTTCTAACAATTTCTCGTCAGAGTTTTCCAAAATGGGAGACAGACCGTAAAATCACTTGTGAGCAGACGCTGCAGAAGGGGGAGGGGCCTGAGACATCATGGACACGTGAACTGACCAATGATGGCCAGATGATTCTCGTAAGTGCACCACTTATTTGAAAAATAACGTTAATATTTTCAACTGAATTATGCCACTAGCATATAATATAGATTACTACCAGCCTACTCGAATGAGCATCTTAAAAGCTCAACACCTTACAATAATAGATTGTTGTTCACTCCTCACCATTATAGTTCACATTATTATAGAAGTCACACTCTTCCCATTTAGGCCACTTACAGTAAACAGGCTCCTCAATGTCTGTGTTTTTTTGTTCTTGATATTTTGAAACTTTCAGTTAGTTAAATCAGTGTTGCATGGTTGGAAATTAAAAAGAGCATTCTTTGAATTCAGAGAACAAGATCCAATATCTTTTGTTATGTTTAAGCCCGTCGGATAAGGATCTTAAATTGTTCAAGCAGTTGGATGGTGGTTTCTTAACATCTCTGATGTTTATCTTCCAGAACATGAGAGTCGGAGATTTCGTCTGCACCCGTGTGTATGAACGAGACTGAAGGATCCTTAGATTTCAGTTCATTTATTCCATTCCATCTCAACCATGTCCACAATATGCTAAAATGCTAGTTTATCATTGTGCAAGCCTGTTCCTTCCACGTTTTTTATGTTTGACATGTGCTAAGTTTGTGTGCCAGAGAAGGAGAGATGTTTGAAGGGTCAGAGGTGGTACTTGTATAAAGATGGTAGCGAGTTTGCATTGTTCTTTTTGGTGCATTAGCTGAGAAGTGTATTTATTATTGGTGTTTGTGCATTTTATGTTGCAGTTTCATGTACATGCCACAATGTGTCTTATCAATCAAAAATGTTTTTGGCAATAAACCTTTATACATATAAACCCCCCAAAATCTCATGACTAATTCACTGTTTTCTTCTTGCCTGGATTTAGAACTGTCTTTGACACTGACCTTGGTTGCACTTTTACACTTGTTTTCTGCCTCATTACTTTTCTTCAAAGTGCTCTTTTTATCTGTTCTTGCTTTCTGTCTCCTGATCCAACCACTTACAGTGTTTTGAACAACACTATAAATTTGTATGTCATGAGTGTACATCAGTTGTTGAATTATTTCCTGCCAAAGAGTAATGGGGGAATGGGGGAGGGGTATGGAAAGAGTGAGCAAACGTTAGAAAAGAAAAATAATTTCATGTTTTTAAGGTTATATTCCCTCTGCTCTCTCTCCCATCTATAGCTAGTTACTGCATGAGGTCGGAGAGAATGTCTGTCATTTCTCTTTCTTTTTGTCTTTCTGCAGCCAGATTCATGATCCAAACTGTTGCTTTATTCTAAATCTAGGGCACAGTAAATGATGCAAAAAGCTGCTGATGAAAAGCAAAATTAAATTAAAACTCTTTCTTCCACTCTTCGTATCTTTCCTTTTTCTACAGACACACATTTATTTAACAGCATTCAGAGACTACAGTTTTTTTCAGTCTGGTGCCGATGATGAATTTTCCAGGTTCCAGACAGCAGAGCTCACAGTGGACTTATTCAAGATTGCACATCATCTCAGTCTGCATGCTGTGTTGCGTATGTGTTTTCTACAATTCTCAACGGTCCTGTTAAAAGTTTTAAGCTCATATAACCCATGATGTCTTAAAAGTGTATATGTGCCGCAGTGTACTGAGGTTGGCGTTAAATTCTGGAAGAGGTTGAAAAAATCCATAAACCCTGCTTAACATAAGAGGCATTGACTGTATTTTTGTGGTTTTGCTAAAGCAAGAATCACTGCAAGAATCATTGCAACCACCTACAACCACCCAAAGCACCCTAGAAACCTGGCAATGCCATAGCAACTACCAAGAACACCCTAACAACCACCTAGCTATGTCATAGAAACCAGAAACCACCTACCTATGTCCTAGAAACCACCTAGAACACCTAGCAACCACCCAGAACTCTGTAACAACTATCTAGCAATCTAGCATTACTGTGCATGGGCGTCCATCCACTGTTGTCTCGTTGAAGGACTCGCCCACCGTGAAGGACACATAAGTGGTCCGCACACTAGTGGAGGTCTGAATGGAGAGACTTTCCCCCTGCTGTGTAATCTCAACAGCTGGTTTGGACGCTGCTGCAACTGCAGTCTTCCTCAGAAAGACATGTACACCTGTAGAAAACACACACATACACACACACACACACACACACACAAATGTGCTAAGGCCATTTATCATAATCAGAAATAAAAGATTTTTCCTATGGCCAATTTCATGTCCTTTCTTGTCCAACTATGTCCAATCTGCACTGGAATGGTGTACAGTCTAAACAGGGGTCACATATTTCTATAATGCCTAGAAAACACCTTGCAATGTCCTATCCATAACCTCCTAAAAACCACCTAGCAACCCTTCCGAAACTCCATAATGAATCCCCAAGCAAACACCTAGCAATGCCCTGGCAACCATCTAAAAACCACCCAAAAAGCATTTAATCAATAAATACCGTTTTATGGCTCTTTAATGTCGTGACAGATCGCTGTAGCACCTCAGTTCAAGAGGTACGTGAACCGATCGTCTCTTACTCTTTACTAGTTATAGCATGAAATAAACATGAATGAACATCAGAAGGTATCTCGTTTCAACCGTGGAAAGACATCAATACACACCATTTTTCAAGTACAAGTCCACCGACTTTAATCTACTCTCCTGTCTGGTTTGTTTGTCGGACAAAATGGCAGATTCGCTGTAATGATTGGTCAGATCGCCTGTCAATTAAACTCCCAGCAAAGAGTCAATTCCCTTACATCCATGCAGAACTCCCTAGTAACCACCTAGCAATGCCCTAGCAACCACCCAGAACACCCTCACAAGTCACAACCACCTAGCAACACCCTAGCACTGTGGCGGCAAGTTTTACATAGGCATAACGTTTTCTTCAGAAATTGCACATTTGCACTGCATTAACTTCTATTTGTTTCATCTTTCTGTCTAGACTTCTTGACTCACTTTACAATTCCAAGTGAACACCAAAATGCTTTGAGACAAGAATTCACATCCGCTGCAACGCCTGGCGTGTTCACTGCGCACCTCGTTAACAAGATTAATATTATAAGCACTCTAGAACAAGGTCATCAACTCTTCACCATGTATTTAACTCTGGCCTTGTGCGGTTTAAGCCCATTGTGGTGGTATGCACTAAATGAGGCCCAGACCCTGATTTCTCCTCTTCTTTAATTTAAACCATACCGCTGAGAAACAGGGGCAAAACCCACAAGCCCACAAGGTCCACTGAAGCTCCCTCCATCCCTGTTGGTTGCCTTGGCAATTCACCAGTGTAGGCTTCATGTCAGCTCATTCCACAGGCAGTGATGTCATGGGGCCATGCATCGCTTGATTGGCTGAGGAATGTTGCGGTTTCAAAGGGAAGCAAGGACACACCCACTTAGAGAAGAGAAAAAGAGGTTTTAAAGGAAAGATGGTTTAGGGAATTAATAGTGACAAATCTTTGTCACTTTAGCATAACCTTACTCTGAACTCACAGATAAAGAACATATTGTTTCTCTATGAATGGTTCATTAAAGGTCCCATTCCTGTTTACCATCGCACTGTCATGCTCACTGATTAATGTATTGCATTTGAACTTCACTGGAAGCTTGCACACCAAGATCAGAGCATAAAATAATGCAATCCAGGAACCATGCTGTTTCAAAGTCAATTTGTGGAGTGTTCAGTTTCTTGGTTTCCATTCAGTATGTGTGAATTTTATCCACATCTGGTCAAGACTAAAGTCAAAGTGCTGCATTGATTGTTTTTTTGGAACACTTTATATACTAGCAGCAGCAGCAGAAACTTTATTATCAAAGAAAGCAACCTGAATGTCTGCAGTCAGAGGTCAAACATTCAATAACATAAAGTGAATATCTAAGAAATTGAAATTTGACTTACAGCTAAATGAGAGAGCATGAAGAAGGGTGATTGTGTGTGTGCGTGGACCGGGGGAGTAGAGGTATATTTTGTGTTTTGAGGTATCATATGACTGACTTTCTGCCCTCCTGTCACCCATGAGAACTCAACATGACTTAAAGGGGTCATATGATGCTGCTAAAAATAACATTATTTTGTGTATTTGGTGTAATGAAATATGTTAATGCAGTTTAAAGTAAAAAAAACACATTATTTCCCACATACTGTACATTATTGTTTCTCCTCTATGCCCCGCCTTTTTGAAACGCGTCGATTTTTACAAAACTCATCGGTCTGAAAAAGCGAGGTGTGCTGTGATTGGCCAGCTATCCAGTGCGTTGTGATTGGCCGAATACCTCAAGCGTGAGACGGAAATGTTACGCCCCTCACCATACTGTTGATGCCGTGTCCGGCCGGAGCGACAAGACATAAACATTAAAACCCATTACAAACAAGGCATTTGTTGCATCCAGTGGGGACATAACTACTGATTATAATGACTTATACTGTCTTTTTACGCATTGCATTGCATCGCGCCGCGTAAACATAATGTGTCTAGTATGATAAAACAGCGCTGCTTTTTTCCCCCACATACACACGGCCAGAAGGAGCGGAAGCGGTTGACTGTAGCATAATAAAAGCTCCGCTGCTTTCGAGCCGTGTGTCACGCTCGTTCAGCGGCCTCGTTTCGCTTCGACGGCTTTCAGCCTCACCCTGCTTCATTCTACTACGTTAATAAATCATTAGCTCATCCATGAACATGATTTCTGCCCGAGTCCCGTCGGATTGCATCGGCTGTGGGGATGAAGACGACAACTCCCATGATTCCACACTCAGTCACGGCGTCATCAAACTACGCCTTTGCTTCTTTGTTTATTTTGAATACGTGCCCTCTAGCGGCGAAAAATTACATATTGTGCCTTTAAAGTGCCAGTTCTTAGGCGACCTTGAGCTTCGTTTAAAATGTTACATTTTTGTGGTATCAGCCCAGATATTTAATTATTATCTACCACCTGCTATAAATGAACTGAAAGGTTTGTTTTTCTTGTGTTTGCAGGATCCATCAGTGACTCAGCACAGTAGCAACACTGGCTATGCCACGCTGGACCTCTACAACCCATTCGACAACAACACAACAGCGGTAAACATGTCCGTCCTGACCATTGTCAGTGTTGGTCAGGCTGTGTTTACATAGCCTTTAATTATTAATACATCACATAATGGGAGTACAATGGATTATAAACAGTTTCATGTCAACTTCAGTTACCTCTGCTCTGCAAGAGAAAATTCTTATCAGATCCTTTTGTCATTGTGTTTGTAATATTATGTTTTTAAAGACTTCAGTTAATTTGTTGTGTTATACCAGTCCTGCATCATTATGATGGCTTATTTTTTGCTTAATTGGATTTTTATTAAGTTGATATTAATTGGTTTGCTTGTTGTTTTGGGTAATGAAGCCTCCACCTCCCTATGAAGCCACATCTCCTGCCGCACCTCCTGCCCAAACGCCTCCCAGTAGCACCACACCAACTGAGCCCAGGAATTATGGATCCTCTGGAACACAGGTGCTGTTTAGAGTAACTAATTGAGCCATATTTGTTCACACAGGGCCATAACACTGGATTTACTATAACTGTTGCTTCTGGTAGTTTATTGTTAAGATTTTTACTGGAACAGCAACAGCACACAGTTGCCCCCTCTTCAAGCCAGTGTATGCTACTTATTTCAGTTATAAAGCAATATTTTAATACCATCCTGTTAGATCTAGATCTGTCACCCATGATGTAATTCTAGAGGGGTTATTGAGCAGTAAAGCTGTTTTAACCATCAAAAATTGCATGATGGTTATATAATTTGATCTTATTATTAATTATTTCATTCTATATTTGGACAGCTTTAGAATTTTTCACAAAATGAATAGTATGATTAAACTGATTTGTATGGATAATCTTAAGACCACTGACTGATGTTTATTACGTTGTTTATGGGAATAGCAAGATAATAAAGTAATAAAATAAATATGCACTACCGTTCAAGTATTAAAGGGGTCATATGATGCGATTTCATTTTTTCCTTTCTCTTTAGAGTGTTACAAGCTCTTGGTGCATAAAGAAGATCTGTAAAGTTGCAAAGACTAAAGTCTCAAATCCAAAGAGATATTCTTTATAAAAGTTAAGAGTTAGCCACACCTACCTAAAACGGCTCGTTCGAACACGCCCCCACATAAAATAATGTTCTTTTTAGCAGCATCATATGACCCCTTTAATTACTGATACCGTTGGGATTTCTGAAGGATCACGTGACCGGAAGACTGGAGTAATGACTGCTGAAAATTCAGCTTTGCATTACAGGAATAAATTACACTTTAACTATATATTAAAATAGAAAACACTTATTTGAAATTGGAATCATGTTTGAGATTATTACTGGTTTAACTGTATTTTTGATCAAATAAATGCGACCACACATTTCAAACGATAGCGTATTTTCCACTAATTAATAAACTAAAAATTCATACTGCTGTGGAATAGTAAGCACAGTGTACAGCTGAATTTCAACTATAATTGTGCTCCCTGTTGAGTTGCAAACAGTTGACCATAAATATATCTCATCTATTTAATACTGTGCAAAAATGCTTCTTAATGTGGTAGTGACAGAAAACAGTTATGCATTTCATAATTGTTAACTGCCTCTTGCTCTCTCTCTGTTGCAGTCTGCAGTAAATGCCACCACAGCAGATCTGTTGAGGAAGCAGGAGGAACTAGAAAGAAAAGCAAAAGAGCTGGAGAGAAGAGAGAGAGAGCTGAATGCACATGCGCTTGGGTCTGGAGCCAGTGAGTGAAGGCTTGAGAAAAAATATCTTGATTTGTGTTTTAGCCAGGGGAATTCAATGTAAACGAAACATCTTGTACAGTGATAGTTGATAGTCTTGTCTTCAGTTTTGACCTGACAACCATCCAGAACATCCTAACATTGTCTTGGCGGGTGTTTCATGTGCAGCCACTACTCACATTTTCAGAAAATGTACTTATCTTGATGCATTATTGGAAGAGTTTTGATTAAAAGTATTTCAGTTATCAAAAAGAGTGAAGTACTCCCAGCTTCATTTGCACATTTACCCTATACAAATCCACTTTTGGATAAACAATTTCACACAATTCTGCAGATTTTCAACACAGAAAATGGGACAAGCAATCAGTGTGTTTTTTAAGAATGAAAGGCTTCAATTCAGTCAAGATTAGCAGAACATACAAAGCGTAACACATTTAAATAATAATAATTTACGCTTTTTTCTGCATGAAAGAGAGCAAAGTACAGTAGGAATAGAATAGGATTTTATGTAAAAGATGACGAGACAGATGGATGGGCGTAAAACAAGTGTATTTTAAGAACTGAAGTGATTATTTAGATGGACTTCTAAAATTGTTGCTCAGGGTTACAATGAAGGTGCAGAGATGGATGAGACCTGAATGATAGAGGAGGGGACAAAGAAACAGCACGGTTAAAAAGATGACAGTGATGGATGGATGGTATTTTCAAAGGAGGAAGATTTAGACCTTGGCGGTAATGAACAAGACATTAATGGAGTGTGATTGATGAATGGGGATAAGAGTCTCTTTCTGTCCTTCTCCCTCAGCTCGTCAGAATAATTGGCCCCCATTGCCCTCCTTCTGCCCAGTGGGACCGTGTTTCTATCAGGACATTAATGTGGAGATTAGCCAAAGCTTCCAGCGCACTGTCACCACCATGTACTACTACTGGATGTGTAAGTTTGCTCGGTTTAGTACTGTACGTCTTTTGCAGTGTGTGGATGGTTCTGGTTTGTATCTGTCTTCCATCATTTTTAGTAAATACTTTAATTATGAATTTATCATGCATGCTTTCATCTGTTAAACTGAAATTGTTAGCCTCCTCTGTAGTGATTGACCAATATATTGGCCAGACTGATTAATCGATCATTATTTGGCCATTTTGAACAGTGAATCTCAAAAGCCTTGTCAATGGACAAGTTTCAAAATTTTTTTTAGTAAATACTGGGTAAAATAAAAAGTGGTAGTTCACCCAAAAGTTGTTATATTAACTCATTTACTCACTCATAACTTATTCATTAACTCACCCTCATGTGATTTTGTAAGACACCTTTGACTAGAACTTTAAATATTACACTCACAAAGTTTTTATATAATTGTTTTTATATAAGTATAGCCTTTAATGCTATATTTAAAAAACAAAAAAAATAAAAAATACATTTGGTTATCTTAGTGATATTAATTGATTTTAAAATGTAGGTTGTATTTTTTTTATATGTAATATGTAGTTTATATATTATGTTGAGAAGCTACTTTTAAAGGTGCTATACAAAATATAGTTCCAAATGACGATTTATGTTAATGAAATAAGTCAAATGGGTTTAGAAAATTTATTCACCATTATTTCTATCACAGAATTTTCTTTTTTGGTTGAACTTTTGCTTTAGTTTTAGCAATTTTGTGTATCACCAAATTGTGTTATGTATCACATATCAGCAGTTTCTCCCTTGTATAGGCCTATTGGTCAACCACTACTTCAGTATGTTATTTGGCTTGTTAGTCTGCAGTTTTCCTTTATACTTATCTTTCTCTCTCTCTTTTTACCCACTTCTCTCATCTTTTTTTTCTTGTAGTCACAGCATGCACTTTGCTCTTTAATCTCATCTCCTGTTTGGCTATGTTCTGTGCGGACCCCATCAATGGAGTTGGTTTTGGTCTTGCCATACTCTGGTTTCTCCTCTTCACCCCCTGCTCCTTTGTTTGTTGGTACAGGCCTGTGTACAAAGCCTTCAGGTACGTACCACTGTGGTCTCTCACTGAGGGTGGGACACCTACCTTGTGTCAATTTATATATTTTTTTTAGATGTAGCAAACACATTTTTAGCAATACTCGGGTATTACGTGCATTTAAAGGAATAATCACCCAAAAATGAAAATGATGAAAATTGACTCACCCTCAGACCATCCAAGATGTAGAGGAGTTTGTTTCTTCATCAGAACAGATTTGGAGAAATGTAGCATTGCATCACTCGCTCACCAATGGATCCTCTGCAGTGAATGGGTGCCGTCAGAATGAGAGTCTAAACAGCTGATAAAAACATCACAATAATCCACAAGTAATCTACATGGCTCCAGTCTATCAATTAATACCAGAGGATCCATCGGTGATCAAGTGATGCTAAATTTCTCCAAATCTGTTGGAGAAACAATCTCAACTGCATCTTGGATGGCCTGAGGGTGAGCACATTTTAAACATTTTTTTATGTTTGCGTGAACTATTCATTTAAGGGCATTAAGAGTCATTATTTCTGCTTATTACTGAATAAATTCATAACTTCGTATTAAACTTCGGCATAAGTCTTGTTCTGCAGATATGAGTAATTCTTGAAATTATGCAGATTTCAGACACTTTTTGCCTCCTCGACGACAAAACGAGTGGGAAATAAACATGTATAATAGTTTGTTATACCATTATGTTAACATTTTTAGAATTCATATGTCAGCCAAATGTTTCCCAACATAATGAACTGGTCATTGTGCGCTTCCGTTTCTCAACAGGAGTGACAGTTCCTTCAACTTCTTTGCATTTTTCTTTGTCTTCTTCGCCCAACTGGTGTTTTATGTTATCATGACTATTGGTATCCCTGGCTGGGGCTTCAGTCAGGCGTGACAAAACATTTGTACAAATTTGGTTATCTACCTGTTGATTGTCATTTAGTGTCATTCCATTCTTACTATTTGGCCACTGGCTTGTTACTCTTTAAATTTTTCTCTTTCTCTCCCATTTGTGTCACAGTGGGTGGATCGTGAGTTTAGCCGCTCTTGGCAAGAGCAAGGCAGTGGGTGTGATCATGATGAGCAGATTTCAGACACTTTTTGCCTCCTCGACGACAAAACGAGTGGGAAGAACATTTTTAGAATTCATATGTCAGCCAAATGTTTCCCAACATAATGAACTGGTTGGTCATTGTGCGCTTCCGTTTCTCAACAGGAGTGACAGTTCCTTCAACTTCTTTGCATTTTTCTTTGTCTTCTTCGCCCAACTGGTGTTTTATGTTATCATGACTATTGGTATCCCTGGCTGGGGCTTCAGGTGAGCGTGACAAAACATTTGTACAAATTTGGTTATCAACCTGTTGATTGTCATTTAGTGTCATTCCATTCTTACTATTTGGCCACTGGCTTGTTTAAATGTTTCTCTTTCTCTCCCATTTGTGTCACAGTGGGTGGATCGTGAGTTTAGCCGCTCTTGGCAAGAGCAAGGCAGTGGGTGTGATCATGATGATAAATGCTGCGCTCTTCACCGCTCAGGCGGCCTTGGGAGTGGTGTTGCTCAAGAGGGTAAATCACATCACCAATAACAGCATCCATTGGCAGTCAAATTAGGGATATAACGTCAAGTATAAGTTGAAAACCATACAAAATGTTTATCTTCATCCAATTTTGAAACTGTGTTGTCATCATCTGTGGATTTTCAACTGCTACTCCAGGGTTTGACTGACTTTTTATTTTGAAATAATGCAATGATATTTTAAATGCAGACTCTTTTCAGAGTCTTTTTTAAATCAAATAAATGCAGCCTTGGAGAGAATAAGAGACTTTAAAAATCCATCCCCAAACTTTTGAACGATAACGTATGTAGAATTTAAATTCATAATAGTTGATTCATTGAATTGATCTGATGAATGATGATTTTTTTTTGCATCTTCTCCCATCAGGTTCATTCTATGTACAGGCAGACTGAAGCGAGCTTTGAGAAGGCCCAGGCTGAGTTTGCTACCGGTGTGCTTTCTAATCAGGCAGTGCGCCAGGCAGCCACCAATGCCACCGTTTCTGCTGCACAGGGCGCCTTCACTGCACCCCGGTAGAGAGACATGAATGAAAGAAAAGAAATGAGGTTGAAGAACCTGTTTGCTTACACAGCCTAAAGACAAAGTGACTTCTTCTAGCACTCCTAGATATGGCCAAGTTGTCTTGACAGACCAACACACTTACCCTAGACCCGTCTTGTATGCATGTCAAGATACAACAACTCATAATGATAGTAAAACACCATTGGATTTTCATTTGTATTTGTTGGTCTTGCTGAGCATTAGGCCATTAGTTCGGACATGCAAAAAGGATCTAGGTGTTGGTTGATTTCAAGTTATGGGTTATATATGCTGTCTATGAGGATCTATTATCAACTAATACAATAGTCTTTCTGTTTATCATGCTAGAAAAAGTCACTGTAATCTGTTAAGACCGTAAAAATACCTAATACCCCAGGTTTTGGCTTACAATTCTTGTCTCTCTTACATTTCTAAAGCTTGTAAGTGTAAGATACAGCAGCCTTGCAGATTCAACAAAGACGTGCCACATTCTGCCTTTGCTTTTCCCTTGACTTCCTTCTTTGTGTGTAAATAGCTGTACATGGCAAGGAAAGGGGTAATTTCATTGCTCTAGAATGGAGGTTACTACTTGTGAAGTTTAACTTGCCAAAAGTTTTTCTTAAGCGAAAGAGAGAAATCCCATATCATATTTTAGAGATTCATCATTCAGGTTATTAGTCTGTTGGTGGATGGATTTCTTCCTTTGACCTTTATTTATGAAAAAGCATGTTTTGATTAAACTACTTAAACTACTGTATGTACCTCTTTGCAGTTATACACGACTAATGTTTTATTTTCATGACTTGAGGCAGGTAATTTGTGCTTTGGAATACATAATCATACTTCATACCTTAATATAAAACTCAAAATTTCTTATCCAAATGAAAAGAACAAGATAGGTGCGGTTATCAGTGGCCAACGTATTTGTGTTGCTTTTGTAATTTGTAACTTTTTTTGTTGTTGCTAATTTCAATCTAACGTTTTGTCTAACACTAGAGTGGCGAACTCCGGTCCTGGAGAGCCGCAAGTCCTGCAGAGTTCAGCTCCAACCCTAATTAAAACTCACCTGCCTGTAGCTTCCTAGTAACCCTTCAGACCTTGATTAGCTTGTTCAGATGTGTTTGATTAGGGTTGAAGCAAAACTCTGCAGGACTGACGTTCGCCACCCCTGCTATAGTATATACCTAAATGAAAGTATTATTTGTTTGTTTTACCGTTACTGTATTGCTGCTGTATGTTCTTGTAACTGTGTTATTTGTTTTATTAAAGTTCATGAATATGCATATTATAATTTGCCTTTGCACTTACTATATATTAAACGAAGAAATGTTTAGTATAGCCTATAATATATGTTTAATATTTTATTTATTTTTCTCTATATATTTTTCTTTTGTTGTTGTTATACAAGTATCTTAAAAGTCATTATATGTTTGTTTTAAAATCTTAATGAATAGTAAGGCTTTGATATGAAACAGTAGAGGACATTTTACTTGGTATTTCATCCCGACATGTATGAAAATACTTCCATATTTTTTTTCGTTTTACTTTCTCTCAAGAAATTATTATAAATAGTACGATGTTTTGAATGTTCGAAATTAAGCGTCTCCTTGACAACCGACGCTCCTTTCCAACAGAGCCGTTGAGAAACAGAGTTGCGACCACTATAATGACTCTGGTTATAATGACAGTGGTTTCGACACGCTTTGATCTCGCCGTCACGTGCTTCAATATGTTTGAATGGGTTTAAGTAGGATAGACAGCAGTTTCACTACATTTGCAGCAATTTTTAGTGATTATTAACACATCATTTGCATTGATTGTGTATTGATAACTACGCTGACTAGGTTTTACAATCGCATTTTATTCTGGGGAGTGATGAAGTGACAGCATTAATATTTTTTCTAATATGTTTATTATTTATATTATAATTAGCGTAGTATTTAGGGTTAAAATAGAGAAAATGTTTTTAAATTCTAGTGCAAAGAGACAAACTAGAGGCGTTTGGTGGCCAGAAAAATAATATTCCTATGTAATGCCATGGTTTAACCACTAGATGCCCGTATGGCTGTTTAATAAATATAGCCTATATTTAGCTCTACTCTTGTTGCTGTAAAGGGTTTTACCGCTAATAGCTTATTTATTTATTTTATGTTTTGCATTGTATATTTAGACATTATAAAACACTCAATGTTTAAAAGTTTTGCTTTTTTTTAATGTTGAATTTAAATAGATTAATTCCTCACATCCCAGTAATATTTTATGACATTTATGTAAGAAGACAATATAAGTGAATGTTAAAAAAGGCCAGCAAATACAGAATTTAACCCAATAAAAAAAATGTAAATAACGTAAAAAACAAACAAACACAAGACAACCAACTGCATTCAGGGAAACTCTTGTATTCCTTTAATGGGCAGTCTTCACTGAAACTCATTCAGCTATCTACAGGGAGAGAAAGATTGCAGAAAGAAAAAAAAACTTTAAAATATGACAACTAGCATCTGGTTAGGATCGCTACTAAGGTGTTTCTCACGTTATCTAACTGCAAATATAGCATAACTGCCTACTATCTAAAACTAAACATTAACTATAA